GCTGTCAAGAAGCCATTCTTAATGAAGGGAAACAGAGACATAAGTCTTATGTATGCCAAATTACACAAGAAGCTTCATATGGGGTTGCCACAGCAGATGGATCCATAGATTTTTATACCAGGTGTCTTTAATGATGCAGTCCACCCTGATATTGTACTCAGTCTTGTACCAAAGTGTTATATGTCATGTGTTAAATATATTTGTTAACTACTAGACTATTGATCCACTATCCTACACATGAAAAACCCAACAAATGTGACATTTTTGGTTTAAATCTTTGTCTGTATGTACAGAAGAGATGGTGGAGGCTATGTCATGGTCTAGAGACACACGGGTGTTCCATTAGTTTTACCAAAACGAGTGAAATAATGGACACAGAAAAGTAAAGATCATCAAAAGATTTTGATCCACCGTGCAATACCACCTGGAAAGTATCTGACTTTTTTCAACAAGACAATGATCCCAAACCTGTTTCCCTGTGCTCTCTTTTTCTTTCCTCTTTTCTTTCTTCTTTTCTCTTTCTGTGCATGACAGACCCTGCCTGTGCCTGATTCTGTCAGGAAGACGTCTCTTCTTGTTAAAATGGAGTTCTTCCCTCCACACTCGCAAAGTGCTTGATTATTGGATTTTTTTTCTCTAATACTGCAGGGCCTTTACCTTACAATATAAAGGGCCTTGAGATGACTCTTGTTGTGTTTTGCCACCATAGCACAGTAAAGAGGGTTTTGTTGAAAAGGAACGTCCCCCTTACTCTTTGTTGTTATTTTCGAAATGAAAACCTGTGGCTCTCAAAGGATTTCAAGATTTTAACTGATGTTGTAACGCTCGTCTTATCGCCTTATTCCTAATATGTTTTTACTGACCTCTAGTGGCACACCTAAACCACTGCAGGGGAAACGGTCCGCTGAACTAGGCCCACATGCGTAACTTCCTCTCCTCTTCCTGTTTATTTTTTTCTAAGGTACCATCCATGAATGAAACACTCCAGGAGCTCTGGGTTCCAGAA